GGCTTTTTTCTTTTTGCTTATGTGGTGCTGAGGAATCGAACCCAGGGCCTCAGGCATGCAAGGCAAGCACTCTACCACTGAGCCACCTTCCCAGCCCCATTCTTTATTATTTTCTGTAGTAATGTAAATTTGGGGAAGTAACTTCACTTCTCTGAGCCAGAGTATTCTTGAAAGTAGTGAAAATAAGTCTGATTTCAGGATTGTTATTAGATATAATATAAACAAAGTTTCCCAAACTATGCCTATCAAAGGACATGAATTTAATAAATGGCAGAAAATACATATAAACAGTTCCCAAATCGATACAAATTAATACATATATGCACAGCAAGAGGGAGATGAAGCTCCTTGAACATTTTAAAGTATATTTTCAGGTTCTTCAGCATATTTGTCACAGGAATTAAAATGATTGCTCTATGTATGAACTGAAATTACATGTAACAGTTCTAACGATAGAGCAGAGTTAAATAAAGTGAGGCAGTGACTGTGGAGCTAATTCTGTTTTTAAGGAAGAGGAGAAATAATAGGCTATTTTTATACCTTCCTTACAGATACTCTGTAGATACAGGGATCCAGGATGCCTGTGGCAGCACTTGCACTCATTTTGCACATAAATGAGAACTTCTTTCTCCAGTGGACACAGTTGGCTTGCACTACCTCCCTGAATGAGAGAAAAAAAGACCAATTACATATTATCAATGACATGTTTGCAGCATACACTCACCTTTTCCCTCAAGGCTATATGCAAAAATGATATACTAAAAGCATTTGTAAATAGTGGAACGGAAAAAAAAATTTCCTAACAATGATCTGTACATCTCTGAAGCTAAAAAAGGGAAAATTTACTTATCAGTTTGGTCAGTATAAGTGGAGACTTTGCTATTCATTTATTTGATATGCAATGCACACATGGATAGGTGTGTGCTAGGTGTTTAAAACAAAGACGGGAAGCATAAGCTGGATACCTATGGCTCATAACTGTCATCCTAACTAGTCAGGAGGCTGAGATCTGAGGATCATCGTTTGAAGCTAGTTCAGGCAGAAAATGCTGTGCTATTTATATCTCCAATTAACCAGCCAAAAGCCAAAAGCCAGAAGTGGAGATATGGATAAAGTGGTAGAGTGTCAGCCTAGGCAAATGTTAGTGAGACCCTATCTCAATCAATAGCTGGGAATAGTGGTGAATATTTTTCATCTCAGCTATGTAGGAAGCATAAACAGGAGGATCACAGTCCAGTCCAGGCTTGCCCTGGCAAAAGTCCAAGACCTATTGGAAAAATAAGTAAAAGGGACTGAGTTGTGATTCAAGTGGTACAATATCCATGTGGTACGTGCAAGGCTCTGAGTTGAAACAGTCACACACACACACACACACACACACACACACACACACACGTTAAAATCCCTCAGGAATATATTAAACTTCAAGGCACATGATTGTTCCTGTCATTGGAACCACTGGTATATGACTGGGTATCAAGAAAAATTAAAACTCTGATTATTTGAAGTCTTTGGAAAATAAAATTAAGTCAGATGACAGTGGCTAATCTTAGCTACTCAAAAGGCTGAGGTCTGAGAACAGAAGTTCAAAGCCAGCCCAGGCAGACAAATCTGTGATAATCTAATCTCCAATTAACTAGCAAAAAAACAGAAGTGGGGGGCTGGGAAGGTGGCTCAGTGGTAGAGCGCTTGCCTTGCAAGCCTGAGGCCCTGGGTTCGATTCCTCAGCACCATATAAGCAAAAAGAAAAAATCCGGAAGTGGTGCTGTGGCTCAAGTGGTAGAGCGCTAGCCTTGAGCTGAAGAGCTGAGGGACAGCGCCCAGGCCCAGAGTTCAGGCCCCACAACCGGACCCAAAAAAAAAAAACAGAAGTGGAGCTATGGCTCAAGAGTTCTAGCCTTGTATAAGAAAGTTGATCAAGAGCACCAGAACTGGCACCAAGAAAAAATATAATAAAATATAATGATGTCAAAGTTCTAGCTAATGATAGACAGGTTGACATATATTGGCCTCTATTTACTTCCTTAAACCCACTAAGTTAAAAAACAAAAAAGGGACGGCATTATCTCACAAAGTCAGAGATGTCTAGAGAAAAGACAAAAATAAGCAGTCAGAGGCAGACAGGTGATATCTAATTTAGCATACTGAAGAAATCTGAACCTTTTGTTCGTAATGTTCAAAGTCAAGAGTGGCAACTTAAATTGGTCCTGAAATAGAAAGGAGGAGGAAGAAAAGTAGCAGGATTGATTGAAAACTGTTGTGGAAAAAGTCACACCCTGACTTCTGCAGAGAGCTGACATATCCCACTGATGGTAAACCAGCAAACACCTGGCCTGCCTCAGCCTGGCAGGTATCAGAATGACACGTTGGTGGGAGCAATGAGAGATGAGAGATGATGCTGAGCCTCCTCCTCTTCTCTGGCTCCCGTAAGGCTAGAACTAGATAGAGGGAGATGTGGGAGGAATATATTCTGGGCAATCCAACCACCTTAAAAACAAAAAAAAAAGCTTTAATGAGATAAGACATTGAGGGGTTACAGCTCAGCTCACTCCCGCTACAATAAATACCTGTGCTGACAAACGTTCTGCACATGCCTCAGTGAAGGAGGAGCAAGCACACAGGAAAGCCTTGTCTTAGAGAAGGCAGAGAGCAAAATGAATAGGAAAAAAGCAAATTGAACAACGTTCAAGACAAATTTTCAGAGATAAAAAAAGAAGTTGCACCTGCCATACAAGAATAGGATGTTATATAAAAAGAACAGATAGGGAACTACGAAGTGCTCACAGAAATCAAAACTACTGGCTTGGTATTCTATTTGCCTTTCTGAACCATGCACCCTTCTTTGTAGCCCATGAGGCTGGTCTAAAGGGCAGCAGCAGCCAGATTTCCCGGTCTCCACCTCGGAGTGGGTAAAGGAACCCCAGCAGAAGGATGGAGGGCAGGCGCAAAGAGGAAAGCACACTTGTTACTTGTTCTCTTGGCTCCTTTCCTTTTTGAGCATGTGGGAAATGAAGAAGTGTTGGGGACTTCAGTTTGACACACTGTAAATGATGTGCCTTTATGACTTCGCTAAAATAAAAATTATTCTAATTAAAATTGTCACACACTGAATATTCTGAAAAAGGGGACAAAAGTACATAGAAAAAGCTGGACACACCTGTAATTCTAGCACCTGAGAAGATGAAGTAGAAGGACGCAGTTTTAAGGCCAATATGGGCTATATAATGACACCCTGCCTCAAAAAAACTTACCTTACTACCTTCCTTATGTAATTGTAACCCCTCTGTACATCACCTTGACAACAAAAATTTTAAAACATTAAAAAGAGGTATGTACCACTGCAAGGTATCTTTTCTAATTGCTTAAAAAAACCCACTGAGAACCTTCTTCGCTATCTAGCGTATGATTCAGATAATACGTGCGTTGGTAAATAATCTGTCATTACAACAAATATCTCAGATAAATCAATTTATCAAGGAAAAAGGTTTATTTTAGCTCACGGTTTTAGAGGTTTCAGTCTATGACTGACTAGCCTGTTGGTTTGGGGCTGTGAGAGACAGCACATCACAGCAGATGTATATAGCGGAGCAAACTGTTTAGTTCATGGTCAGGGAGCCAGAGAAGAGGAAAAGGCTAGGCTCACACTGTACATTTGAGGACAATGCCCCAATGACCTGAATAGTACCTTCAATAGTACCATGCTAGGGAACATGCCTATAACACATGGACCTTTGGATCCAAATTTAAGAGCCAAACTTAGCAGTGTCTTAAAATGTTACCTTAATGTTATCTTAAAAAGTTGTCCAGGAGTTATGTAATAAATACAAAATATCCATTAATATCTCAAACCTTTTATTATTATTGTTATTATTATTATTATTACTATATTTTGTTGGTCATGGGGCCTGAACTCTGGGCCTGAGCGCTGTCCCTCAGCTCTTAGCTCAAGGCTAGCACTCTACCACTTGGGCCACAGTGCCACTTCCAGCCTTTTCTGTTTATGTGGTGCTGAGGAATTGAACCCAGGGCCTCATGCATGCAAGGCAAATACTCTACCATTGAGCCACCTTCCCAGCCCCTTTATTATTTGTTTTTAAAATGTATTCTTTGGCTGATACTAGGTCCTTACACTCATTTGGTTTGCCTGCTACTGCCTGGCACTCTGCCACTTGAGCCATGTCTTCAGCCCAGCTTTTCAATGGTTAACTGGAGATGGAGTTTCTCTTTTTCCCAAGCTGACTTTGAGACCCTCTAGAGCTCAGCCTCTTAAGTAGCTAGGATTATAAGTGGGCACATGACTTGTTTTATGCTTTGTCACTTTTCATTTGTTTGTGAAATATTAGTAACTGCAGACATACATCATGTTTTTATCTAGTTTTAAATGTAGCAGTTGTTATATGTTAATAGTATGTGCTACTATTTATTCAAATAGGTGGCTTTTGACTGAGTAATAAAAATCAATGACAGCAAGTGTCCTCTATATGTGGGTATCTCTCTTTAAAAGCAAATAAGCAGGAAAGAAGTATTTGCAGAAGTATTTAACTTAGATAGAGAGTGGAAGAAGCCACTATTTAAGTCTGGGAAAGAATAAGAGATAAACTTCAGCAACATTACAAACATGGGCAAATAACTGAAAATACAGGGTAACAGGATAAAGAAGGAATTTTAATATGGAACATGACCTGAAATATTCTTAAGGGGAAATCACACTGTTTGCTACTACTGTGGTCTTCAGGTCCAAGCTGATGGTGACATTAAGGACAATGATGACAATCTTCACTGGGTGCTTATTATATACACTAAACACGGCTTAAATATGTTTTATGTGTTAAAAGACTTAATCCCCCAAGCAACTCTGGGAGAATTATATATTTTATAAAGGAACTAAGATACAGAGAAAACAAGTGACTTGGTTGAGGTCACTTAGCTAAAAAGGGTTAGAGGTAGAATTCTCATTTCCTTACACAGTTACTTTTTCAATACCCCAGGGTCAGGCTTCTACCCTGTCTCCTCCACTGAAAACTGCCACCTATGAGCAGCCAAGTGCAAAATCTGATGGACTCCTTTTAAAGAATACTTGACCCTTTTTATACAGTGTGTGTGTGTGTGTGTGTGTGTGTGTGTGTGTGCTGGTACTAGGGCTTACACTCAGGGTCTGGGTGCTGTCCCTGAGCTCTTTTCCTCAAGGCTAGTGGTCTACCACTTGAGCCACAGCACCCCTTTTCTGGAGTTTTGGCAGTTAATTGGACATAACTGTCTCAATGGCGTTCATGCTTGGGCTGGCTTTGAACCTTGGTCCTCAGATCTCAGCTTCATAAGTATCTAGGATTACAGGTGTGAGCTACTGGCGCCCAGGACTTTCTACACATTTTAACAGCAGTCCGGCCCACCTCTTTCTACTTGTGTGATTATTTCTTCTCAGTATAATTTCTGTCTCCTTAAAATTCTGACCAAGCTTCTGTTCTTGAATTATAATTTACATCAGAGGTTTTAACTATTATACATATATTGAGAATTTATAAATCTAAGTTTCTTTTTCTTTAATCTTTGGCAGTGATACTTGGTACTCTTGGCCTCTAGTTAATGCTTTAAGCCTCTGAGATCATCTGTCTACCATGGTTCTTACCAGCAGGCTAGTTACTTGCCATGCTAAGTTAAACCAATCAAATGGTTTGCCCAGGAGCATATGTGGCAGAGACCCCCAG